CTCACTTTTAATTATTATATTATTATTATGTTATACACGTAGATCATGTCCATGATGCCTTTCCTCTGCGCAGGTCCACCGCACTATTGTTTTTAAGATTAACATCATTATTACTTCTGCATATGCATTACATACTATGATCATGCTGGCTTCATCCCTTATCTCCTAAGCTACCCCCCCCCCCGGTGCGTCTGCCCAGTGTTGACTCCGAGACCCACGGTCGGACGAGCTGCCCAGGCCTCACCACCACTGCCGTTTCCGTGCTGCCTTCTCGATACATACGTATGTACACTGTATATCATGTGAACATTCACATGTCTGAAGGTTTGTGGTTTTTCAATAAAAAATAAATAAAAAATAAAAAAGTAGAGCTATCGTGGATCGCTGACAGGCTGCTGAATGTCTCCTGTCAAGTACACTCGTGGATTTGGGGCACATTCACTGGCGGCCCAGGACGGGTGTATTTTGAATATTTATTAGTTTAATATAGCTATGAATAGGATGAAGGCCGCAGACATCACGCAACTACGTTACTTGTTTGACATGTATTACTGTGTATTTTATAACAAAAATATTATTGAAAACCCAGAATCGATTTTCTCGTTCCTATCATCAGTGGGAAAAACGGAACTAAGGATACAACCAAAGAAACTGAAGTTACGTACTGTAAATAGAAAGGTGTTAGAAATAACATCAAGATACAAGTGCAATAAAACCACTAGAGGAAACGCAAAAAAGGTTAACAAGATTACATAACCAAAGGCGAGAAGGCACTGAACGAAGTGTCAACATACGAATACAACTTCAGTGCAACAATGTGCTCTTTTTGCTTACACAAAAGAGGCTTATGAATACGTATACAAACTGCCTCTAGGACTTTCAACTGTTGGACATAACGCGCACGACACAGTACAGAAAAATGAGAGTCATCATACACACCAAGACAGTCAGGACGAGATAACAAGTGTAGATACACAGCTGACTTCTTACGATCAACACATTCATCCGCCTCATCTCGCCCCTTCCCACCCGACTCCTCCTCGTCCATCTCATCGTCCTCTTCCTCGTTCCGCTCATCATCCTCACGATCATCATCACCACCATCATCTGCCTCGTCCTCTGTCTCCTCACCAACCGTTTCGTCACCCAATTCCTCTTCCATCCTCTGATCATCCGTCTCATCCTCCGTTTCATTCCAGACCACTTGTCTCCCATTTGCTAGCTGCTCGTCCCGTGAGCGGAGTTGTTCCTCCAGATCCGCTTCACTCACTGACTCATGATACTGCTCGACCCTCCTCCTGTTGGTACTGTCCACAACGCGCGGTCCTTGGCCGTTTCTGGCATAGATCTCTGTGGAGTAGTTTGCTGTTGCCCTCCGAGGTCTCTGGATTAATGTGGGCGGCGTGGCAATTCGTGTGAGAGTTGGTGATGCCAGCGCGAGTGTAGGTGGGTCCACCCCAGCCCCCGCCACAAGAAGAGCCGGTGGCAAGGGCGACGGTGGTGCTGCTGGAGTTGGCGACTTGGGCAGCCTAGCTCTCCCACACGGCACCGCATTCTGTGATGGCTCAGTCTGTACTACTGGCCCTGGGGGTGGGTTCTTGCGCGGTCGGCCACGCTTCGGCCGCTTGGATTTAGCTGCATCCGGTAGAATATGCAGCGGTACATGCTGTTTGATACGTGCGGTCAGGTGTTGAAGGGTCCTACCAACGTACCGGCTACCACAATTCCGGCACTCAAATTGGTAAACCAAATGGCTCAAAAGATGGGATGGTAGGACGTCCTTCCTCACCATGAACGCACGTATCGTCGTGAATACAGGAATGAAATGTGCTGCGAAGTATGTTTTCATTACTAGCGTCTTGACTGCGCGGCACATGGTCAGCGATGTGTTTCCTTTCCAAGGCAAACAAAGATAAATTGGGCATCGAGCAGGACCAACGCTCACTTCTTTCGATTTGTCTGCTGTTTTCATTAGTTTATTGAGTACATCTTCAGGGTATCCGTTCTTTAGAAACACAGACTTTAAGTATTGTAACTCCTCGCTGAGTTTATTTGGCGAGCAAATGCGCCGTGCCCTGTCAACTAGGTTCCTCACCAAATTCACTTTGTACTGGTAGGAGCAGTACGAATCATACACAATATACTGCCCGGTGAACGTGGGCTTTCTGTATACGGAGGTAATGATATCATCATTCGATTTCTCAACCAATACGTCAAGAAACGAGAGTTTATTGTCGTGCTCATGCTCGCATGTGTATTTTAGAGACGGATGTAAGCTATTCAGATGATGAAGGAAGTGGTCGCACTGCTCCGTGGAATCAAAATACGTAAACGAGTCGTCGTCGTTTGGTTGTATCCTTAGTTCCGTTTTTTCCCACTGATGATAGGAACGAGAAAATCGATTCTGGGTATTCAATAATATTTTTGTTATAAAATACACAGTAATACATGTCAAACAAGTAACGTAGTTGCGTGATGTCTGCGGCCTTCATCCTATTCATAGCTATATTCAAATTATTATCTCCACGTAGGTTATTTATTATTAGTTTAGTTTACATCAATATCAAATTCAAAAGAGTTGTATAGCAGGGTGTCGTTGCCTCCTCCATGATCCATCATCGACCGCAGCGACTGCGTGGATGCCTGCAGTTGCAGTGGTGGTGTGGCAGAGTACTCTACTACTACTACTCCCTGGCTGCAGTCCTAGTGCTGCATACTCGTAGACGCATTGCTTGGAGAGAGAAGGAGAGAGTTGGAGATCGTCCGCGACCGGGGCCAATGAGTTGGGAGAGGGATTCCCTCACCAACTATCCACTCATAACGATGCAGTATCGTTTGCGAGATATCCAGAACGTACAGTTCATTTGCAAAGAAGCACAATATGAAAACTGAATACCAAACGGCAACCAAACAACATCAAACTCAGTGCAGAAGTAGCACTCCAAAGCCATCGCCACGCAGGTTCCGCCAAAGTGGATCCGCGAAAGCGGAGGTTCCGCTCGCATTTGTTGGCGTAGCGAAATCCAAACTTTCCGCCAAAGCGTAACTGTAGTCTGTTACTTACGCCTCCGCCGTTGCCGAGGCAACGGCGGAAGCGTAAGTCACGCTTTAAAGCTTTGGCGGAACCGCCAAAAAAAAGTGCATGTGTGAGCGCGCGGCCTAAGGCCGCGGTCACACATGAAAAGCTTGCACCGCTTTTGCGGAGGCGGAAAGCGGAACTACCGCAGCCCCTTTGGCGGACCACACGATGCAGCGGTCACACATACATGTAGACTACTGTGCTCCTCAACGCTCCGCTTTGGCGGAGGGAATGCAAATGCAGCACGTCCTATGAAATTTTAGATGTTCTTGTCCGAGTTGAAGCGACCTTCGCTTGTACAAGTAGAGCTATCGTTGATCGCTGACAGGCTGCTGAATGTCTCCTGTCAAGTACACTCGTGGATTTGGGGCGCATTCACTGCGGCCCAGTACAGGTGTATTTGAATATTACTAGTTTGGTTTACATCAAGATCAAATTCAAATAGTTGTATAGCAGGGTGTCCGACGGTTGCCTCCTTCTTGTCCGAGTTGAAACGACCTTCGCTTGTACAAGTAGAGCTATCGTGGATCGCTGCCAGGCTGCTGAATGTCTTCTGTCAAGTACTCTCGTGGATTTGGGGCACATTCACTGCGGCCCAGCACGGGTGTATTTGAATATTAGTTTAGTTTAAAAAATTTAAATTTCACGGTTCGCGTGAGACTCGGCCAAAGGCCCAGTTTTCCGCATCCGCAGGAACGCCACCACCCTCTTGGATCAAGGCGCAGATGCAGCTCCTAAACGGTGGGAGGTGAGTAGATCAGACCCACCACAAAGTGGTCAAAGACCGAAATCCCATTCACTGCATCCAGTTTAGTTAACATCAATATCAAATTCAAATAGTTTTATAGCAGGGTGTCGTTGCCTCCTCCATGATCCATCATCGACCCAGCGACTGCGTGGATGCCTGCAGTTGCAGTGATGGTGTGGCAAAGTACTCTACTACTCCCTGGTTGCAGTCCTAGTGTTGCACACTCTGGTGGACGTATTGCTTGGAGAGAGAAGGAGAGAGTTGGAGATCGTCCGCGAACGGGGCCAATGAGTTGGGAGACGGATTCCCTCACCAATTATCCACTCATGACGATGCAGTATTGTTTGCGAGATCTCCAGAACGTACAGTTCATTGGCAAAGAAGAACAATATGAAAACTGTATACCAAACGGCAACCAAACAACACCAGAACTCAGTGCAGAAGTAGCACACCAAACTCCAAACTTTGGACCAAAGCCACCACCATGCAGGTTCTGCCAAAGCGGATCCGCGAATTTTTTGGCGTAGCGAAATCCAAACTTTCCGCCAAAGCGTAACTTACGCCTCCGCAACGGCGGAAGCGTAAGTTACGCTTTGGCGGAACCGGCAAAAAAAGTGCATGTGTGACCGAGGCCTAACTGGCAGCGGAAAACGCGGTTGCAAGCAGCAGTCATAACTTAATAATGGTTCCTGTCCGCAGATTGAGTAATGGTTTTGTATATATATTTTTGAATTTCCAAATGGGTTCTAGCCTGCTAACTGTCTGTCGTGCCAGGGTCAAACGACATCTCAGCTCTACTGTTGTCCTGCTGGAGAACATCATCATCACAAGCCCATAACCCTAAGGCCGTCGGGGCGTCACAGAGCAAGTATGAACAAGCAAGCGCCATAAAAATCGATCGCGTGCAGCAGCGAGCAGGGACTGCACGTCTAGTGCAGTCCATGAAATAATATTATCAAGCCATGACATTCTGGGCCTGCCTCGGCCACGACTTCCAACAACGCAACCCTGAAGAACAGTCAATGACAAACAGCCGGAACGAACAATACATGATTGTATGAACAAAACATTGCAATTTCCTTTTACGAACAGAAACAATAAGTGGGACTTGTTTGTGAATACTATTTATTTTTTCTCTAACAGACACATTCGTCCGGTGATCAGTGAACGGAATCCTGAGAAGGCGTCGATAGCTTCTCATTTCGAAAGCCTCGATCTTTTTCACAATTTCAGCAGTTAATGTCCAAGACTGGCAAGCATTTTAAGAATATGGATAAAAAAATAGCATTGAGTAGACGTAATTTCGAGCCGATACTGATGTTTCTATCCCTCCAGATTGTTACTAGTCGTGCAACAGCAGCCAAGGCTGCTCCGATCCGACTCCTCACTTCTTTGATTGAACGTTGATCATCAGTAATCGTGCTACCCAGATATTTAAACTCGTCAACCTGTTCGAACTGCTTCCCGTCGATGGCTATGCTTGCGAACATACCCTTGCTTGCTCCCGTTACCAGCAGCTTACTCTTCTCAGTGCTGATTCCTCGCTGCCAGCCACTAGATCAATGTCATCTGCCAATCGCAGGTCTGTTATAATGCGTCCACCAGTGCTAAGATGCTAATGCTGGAGATGTCGAACTGACATGATGCACGTAATACAAAAATACTGATAATACCAATCGCTGAAACAGGCACGAACCAAGATACATCTATGCACCCATTTGTGCGTGTATGTGTGTACGTAATAACTACGTATGTATGCGTGCGTGTACCAGTGATAACTGCGCAAGACCTTTTTCCCATAGCATTGTGTTGATTAGTCATCAATCATCATAGACGGTCAATTTTCTAATTGAAAAAACAAACAAGCCATTGGTGGGGTTGAGAAGAAAAAACTGTGTTGCGAAAGAGGTGCAAAATCTAAATCTAAATGATTGTGATGGCAATAGTGCCAAAAGGTGCAAGCGAGAATACATTGGAGTATCCACTATACCTTTTTTACACTCAGAATTTATTGAATTATAAAAGAACAGGTGCAGACAACGGAAGAAGTGGGGAGAAGTGCCTGGGGAGAAGCTGGGGGGAAGTGCCTTCATACATTCACAATCCACTGGTCCTGTATGGAATGACTTGTACGGTGCCCCCCCCCCCTCTTAGTATTGAGGACACATTTCTTGAATTTCCAGAATAGATGTAGACGCCCATCCTGAGTGGGCATTACCAATGTGATAACCCGAAACTCTTCCGATATGTACAGTGATGGTGTGATCTCCAGCTGCAATGTTAGCTCCACTGCTGTACGTCGACTCACAGATACCAGTCAATACGGCCGGGACATGGGTGTTGTCGTTGCTGCTCTGGTACATGGCTATATCAATCTTGGTAGGTCTGGCGCACTCCCTGTTATCGACCTTCAAGTACCACCGCGCAGCTGTGGCTGCTCCCAATGTCCGTATATTACCAGTATATGATAACTTGAGTACAGTGTTGGCATGCTTCTTTCTGAACGTCACTGATGTTATCAGTCCTTCATCCAGTTCACTGTTGACATTGTGACCACTCTGGTACTTGTATCCGAGAGTTCGAAGATTACAGCCTGTGCCCAGGTACTGAAAAGAGCGAAAAGCGAAAAAATGAAAAGACAAAATTATTTTAACGCTTTTAAAAGTTCACCTGAAGTGTATGCGAGCGTTTGAACAACATTCTTCTTTTGTTATTGCCATGAAAATTACCTGACTCGACACTTTACTCACTCAAGACTGGATTGAAGGAAGCAAACTATTTGTATGATACTAGAGAAGTATTGCGGAGCGACCTTTGTATGAATGTACGTGCTTTTTCGTAAGAGGGGCGAAACCTCTCTACCAAGCAGAAAGGTGCTGGAAGCAATGGAGACCAGTGACCGGTAGCCAGAAATCAACGAACACAGCGGGTGGTCGCTGACGGAATAACTAAGCACATTGACATAGTGGAATCGTGTGTGTGTGTGTGTGTGTGTGTGTGTGCGTGTGCGTGTGCGTGTGTGTGTGCGTGTGTGTGTGTGTATGTGTGTATGTGTGTGCTAGTGAAGCTTATATCAGATCAATTCTGATTTGGCCACCCACACTAGTAGCAAGTATTACCTTCGCTGGGGGCAGGGGTAACTGCAGTTGGATCCCAGGACGGATACCCTGATGCCGTCAATCCTTTTTCTGCACCTTGTCCTCACCCACTTACTGAGGTGTGGTGAGCCCATAAGTGGGATCATGTTCAAGTCCACCCAGAGTTTTGGGGATTTCAGGGGGTGTCGGCCGTTGGGCGGTTCAATGGCCAATTGAGTCATCTTTCAAAGATTCCTTTTGAGTCTCTCTCTCCTCTCCCGGGGAGACCCACGTGACCAGTTTTGGCAGTGAGCAACAAGTACAAGTACAAATACAAATGTGTGTGTGTGTGTTTGTTTGTGTGTGTGTGTGCGTGTGTGTCAGTATGCGTGCGTGCGTGCACAGACGGGAGGGAAGTGGTCTCTGTCTCTCTCTCTCTCTCTCTCTCTCTCTCTCTCTCTCTCTCTCTCTCTCTCTCTCTCTCTCTTTCTCTGTCTCTCTCTGTCTCTCTCTCTCTCTCTCTCTCTCTCAGCTCCCCACTCTGGTCAGCCAGCAATGACAGTAAACAAGAGTATTGAGTGCATTACTCCATCGCCTACTCACTTACCTGAGTTCTGCTTCGAGTGTCTGCCAGTTGCGTTCGTAGCTCTTCAACTTCATTCTGTAGATTCCTGAACTCATCTAACGGAGCAGGATGCGCTGCACCGAAAAGAAACAATGATTACAAACGACCAGAGTTATGAATTGTGTATGGCGTGTGTTGCATATTGGAAAGTTCGATGGGCAAAATACACACAAGCGCAACCTCAACTTCTGATGTGCTGTGGATGGCAGTCGTAAGTCAGTCAAGCGCGAATTCAAATCTACAGCAGAAAATCGAGGTACTTCGTAGGGGACGACACACAATTCCCAAGTATCACCGGAGTCGCACCAACCTCTTCGTCATAGTGCTACTAAGTGCACAATGTCCCCTTTCCGCAAAATAGGATCCAGCTATTTAGTGCGACACAGTGCTAAAGTTGTCCTAAACTGGTCAGACAACTGAAATCAGGGTAGGTTTCCACCAGAAGGAACAGTGCACAGCCCAATAATGGTCCTGATGAAGAGATCTACTTGAGGTAGGCAATTAGTAAGGCGAGTTGCGCATTGAACACACACGCACACCATTAGCCAATGTTCAGTATCCTTCAACCTGTTCGTTTCCATCTCATCAGAAAGAATGCTCCCGCAAAGGGAGATGATGAAAAAATAAATACTCGAAATGCAGTGAGGTACAGAAGTGGAAATTTAGTGCGAAACGGTGAGAGCTAAGAATATAAAATACTAGTCAAAGCACTTTTCACAACCACTGAGATACACCAACACCTTCGGGGTGCAAAACCCACACTTCCCGTACCTGTCCCGTACCGTACCATCTAAGACAGCTGGCCACAATATTCAAATAGGTCTTTCAAATGCAAGATCATAACGTGAAGCAAGTTGGAAGAATGGGTACGAGGTGATTTGGCTTTTTAACATGGTTGTAAAATGACGCTTTTTTCAGCCACTTCTAGGCAAGCTAAGTCCAAATGAATTGTTGCAAGCGGAAGTGCTATCCATCATGCCCGTTGTCTCAAAAAATGGGAATGATACCACTTTGGAATGTGTCTTGAATCATGTCCTACTTTCTCAGGATTCAAATAATTGGTGTCATTTTTAACATTTTAAAAAATTTGTACAAGGGCATCACAAACTGGGATATTCGGTCATCCATGTTCTGAAGTTGATAGATAACACTTCAAGGATTGATAGTGGATGAAAATTAATCTTTCGACTGCATTTTATGCTGCGAAAGCTGTGTTTTTGTATTTGTAACTAGTAGCTGTGTCATACAGTAGAATTGGATAGGCAGCATAGCATCGCAGCTCTCTTCACTTGTCATGAAAAAGGCGAATAGGCATGTGAACCACGAATAAAATTGGATGAGCCACGCATAGCATGAAAATGTTTGCACTTACGTGTCTGACAGTAATCCCCAGTGAAGTCAGGATGACACTTGCATACGTATGACGTATTGGACAGCGACAACTGACACTGACCACCATTAAGACAGGGGGAGTAGGTCTTGCAAACATCGGACTGTTGAACTGGGAACAAGAAGACCATAAGAATAGCCCAAATTAGAACAGGCACAATTATGACATGAGCCATTGATTAGTACAATGTACTAATATCATATGCAAATTCCATTGGAGTAATTTTAAAACATATCAGGTTCCCTCATAATCAACTCCAATACTCAAACACGGTCTCTATCCACCATACTTTCTCTTTTCGTTCGTCCCTCTTGGTATTTGTACTTCGTACTGTTGAGGCAACGAACTGACATAATTAAAAACCAAAACCAACCATACGTTATTTTAAACGCTCACCAAATTTCGGGTCTGGCCCAGCTAGGCCTTGACAGATTATGCTAGCATAATTTTTCGCATAATTCCTACCAAAATCGAATAATCGCATTATTCGAGGCAAATTGCATACGAATCGCATAAAATTGGACTAATCCGCCTGTTCGCATCAAATTCCATACAGTTGTACCTGTTCTACAAGTACAAGTACAAGTAGACACACCAGGAAGGCGTAGGTTTACGACTCCCTTGATAACATGTCCAGTCCACTACAATCAGTGACCAGGGTGACGGTCATAGCTAGGTCGGACGGTGCGTTGACCCCGTTGAACTTTTGCTACTACAGGACAACGCCCTCCACAAAACAATTCCCCTGTTATTTTGCACAGAACCATCATACATTAGCAGCATGTGTGAGCATGATGCGGCATAATAATTATGATAACTTTTAGCATAAAAATAGCATAATTCTGCAATTTTTTCAGCATTGCGAAAAGCATAATTTCACGAAAATATTAGCATAATCTGTCAAGGCCTAGGCCCAGCAAGGTTAGGCCGAAAACCTACGTGCACATGTATTTGAGCGTTGGCGTTGAGGGACCCTGAAGGGTGTTAATTTTAAGCTACTTGAAAATTTAAACAATCGACTTGACTTTCTTCATTTTTGCTGTTGCTATGAGTGCACAATTTATCTTATTTATTGCCATTTTACTTGAAAATTACATTTTTAAATTTTCAACTGGGATACTGAGCCTATAAATATAATTTAAAAAAAGAAGTAATCACATGGAAACGAGTTATGAAGCAACTATCCACGACTGTAACAAGATAATAATTTCACACAATTTATTATAGCTACAAAGACAACTAATTGCACAGTAAGCATTTCATATATGTTGACATGTATGTGTAAAATGTTGTACGATTATCGCAAGGCACACAAGGAAGGGAAAACGAGGATTCGTTCAGAACTGTTTTCTTGTTACAATCATCAGTGAATCTACGTAACAATGGAATGGGAACTACTTGAACTAATCTATATGGACAAATAAAAGTGAAAGAAGGGGAAAAAGAGCGAAACAAAAAAGGTGATAATACTACATCTATTCAGTGGGGGGCAATTTGTTTGTCTTATCGGGAGTTCTTCTTATCCAGACCTGACAAAAAAAATCGATATGCATATCATATGGATTGTATTTACGTGAAGGTGCATACTGTGGTAAATGGGAAGCATTTATTCTCAGCATAAGCCAGAAACAGGCAATGTGCTACAATTCGTGACTGTGCTTCCATATACAAACAAATACATTACGATAAACCATGGATAGAATATGAGTGATTACGAGTGTGCATGTGAAGCACAGCATCTCAACATCCATACTTTACAAACACAGTTCACGGTTCGTGTGAGACTCGGTCGGAGCCAGTGGAAGCCGAGTTTTCCGCATCCGCAGGAACGCCACTACCCTCCACGGATCAACGCTCTGCTTCACAAAGCACTTCACAACTCACCTCGAACACTGGTCCTGGCAGGGACAACATCGTTGTTGCAAAAATAAACGGAATAAAAGTCACCTTCGCCTCACGATCACGCGACCAACGACGCGAACAGTGTAGATCTACGCTGAAGCTTGGCCTAGAAAGCACGCACGTCAGTGCGTCTACTACGATTCACTACGTAGATCTATGTACGTACATAATCATCGTACGGATCGGTACCCGGCTATCGAAAAAAGAAAGAAAAAAAGACAGCACCCATGCATGCGGCCCAGTGACCCTAAAAAAGACAGCCAGCGCACACGCGCACGCACCCAAAGTTCGTACTACGCGCTGATTTTATTCAAATCACACTTGAAAATAGTTCGTCTTCGCGAAAGTTCGCCATACAGGAGGTCTTCGTAAACGAATAATTTTGACTGGATATGATGCCTAGGCCAACCATAGGATTGGCCCTAGTTCGTACTAATGGAAAGTTCGCCTTATCAGTGTTCGTCCTAACGAGGTTTGACTGTACATGTCGACATAATATGAATGCTTACTATGCAATTAGTTGTCTTTGTAGCTATATTAAAATTGCTGTCTCCGAAACGCTTGTGCACAATTTATTATTTTTATTTACAGCATCTCAAGACTCCGTCGAAACAGCGGCCAATGTGAAGAAAGTGGGTGGTAGCCAACCACGGTCAACCAAAATGCTACGCTTTGAAGCAATGCAAGGTCTAATGAGGTCTCTGTTCAGAAGCAATAATAAGACTATAATGCGCATACGCACACAGACACGTGTATACATCAGCATGCAAACAAGTGCGCATCCATAAAAACACACACAAGTACCCAAAAATACACACACGCAAACAGTCAACACAAAAGGAGACACAAACACACGTGGACACGCACATCCACACACACAATTCCTTGTTCTTTCTCTTATCCATGATCACATGAACTCACTATCCGATTTCAAAGTCGCACACCATAACTCACGTATACATTTCTGAATTGCCTGAGCATCAGCTCTTGTAGACTGCAAGACGAACTTCAGAACACCGATGTCAGTGCTACTTATCACATCCTCCGACATCGGAACCAGGAGAGCACGTTGCTCGTAATGCAGCGCTTTGCTCTGTGCAGTACCAGCCTTCAGCATTCTCCTCACCATACAACTGGCACCAGTACCTGCAGAGACAGGACAAACAGTGATCGGGCGTGCAGCGCATGACGCTGAGCTCTTGAGGGAATGAATGTATTGGTTGGACATCGATAGCTGATTTTCCGATACAATGTTGCCCTTGCTACCGTTTCTTACAGGATTGCAGATTATTCCGCTGACTTTGCGTTCGAAAACAAACTACTATTACTTACCAGTCACGTGATAGCAGCGGGTCACGAGAAGAACAGCAGAAACAGTAGAAAATCCCACAGCGAATTTAGCCATGCTGTAGCAAGGAGTATTGACGAACTCTTCCTCTGTTTCTCCCTCTTCCTTTCTGTCTCTTCCTCTTTCTCTATGTCTCTCTCTCTCTCTCTCTCTGGTTCTCTGCGTCTCTCTTCTCTTCAAGTCGTCCACCGTAGGTTCAGCAAAGTCAGTGATCGTCACTTTATGGTTAATTTGTTGTTGTTGTATTCTTTTATTTCAATTCGCTCAGGGTACAGGCAATACTGCTTTCTCACCGGAGAGAGGATTCTCCGATTCCTACCAAAATGGCAAAAACGAGAAATCTGCGATATGAATAGGTATGAGAGATGAGAAAAATGAATAATTATGATGTCGGATTACGATATTTTAGTTGTTATGTCAGATTTCCCTGACGATTACAGATAAAGCGTTTCTGGAGGCAAGTGTTGAGAAAGGATGCGGGAACAAAAATCCAGCGTTCCTGAAGGCAATGGTGCACATAAATAGAGCATAAGGGAATGGTGCAGAAAAGAGGTGAGAACTTACAAGCAAGGCAATCGTGCAGAAAAAGAGGGAACTGAAGAACTAGCGGTTCTAGAGGCTAAGACACAAAGAGGTAGGGACAAGCGACTCAATACAGAGTAAGATGGTGCTCTTAAATTCAACCTTTTGTGATATACATCTAACTTCAGCCGGCAGCTTATTCCAGAGAATGGCACCTTGGAAACGGATGGAGTGCCGTCCAGCAGGACCCGGAAGGAAGGGGACACGCATAAGAGCCATGTCACCTGTCCGCGAGTGGCCCTTCGCCTTTTGTTTGTTGTTTGTAAACTTTATTTAGAGTGGGAAGTCCAAAACAGGCCCTAGCCTAATAACAATGGTCCCACTAGTGAGGGAATGCTGTATATCTGTGCATAAGTATCAGTGAGTGTAACAGCAACTAGTAGGGAAAGAAAAAGAGAGAAGAAAAACAACTCAAAACAGGA